AGACACTGTTCACTGTGATGACCACAGCCAGTGTACCAACAGTCCCAACAGTCCCACGTGCAGCTATTATTATTATCACAGTTATCACAGCTATTATTTTACTTTTAGAATGCTACATTTTAAAGCTCATATTTAAAATAAAATGCTCCAGATATGTGTGACACATATCTGCACTCATTTTGTTGTTTTTCACAGGTTGCAGTTTATTGTGAATATCTTAGAAAGATATTCACAATAAGCTATTTTTTGCCAAATATTAGTTATTTTTTACACAGATTGAATTTTATTTGCATTGTTCTAACAAAGTGATTGCACATTGTATTTGTTTTTGTCTGATGGAGCAATCTGGTTTACTTAAAAGTGATTACAATTTTCTTTATTCTATTATTTGAAAAAGCACAGATGGAGTCACAAAATGTTATTTCAATAAAAGTTCAACATGGACCATTTTGTTACAATGTTGTTGGGGCGGTGGGGCATGAACATTTTTCTTCCTCCAAAGTGGGGCGTGACAGAAAAAGTTTGAGAACCACTGACCTAGGCACTCCGGAGGAGCAAGGAAACTTGTGTTAACCAGCAACAATGGGGAGGGGGGGAGAGGCCTAAATCAGAAGGAGAGGCAATATCAATATCTTCTCGTAGAATTTGACAAAATACTGCTAAAAGTCTAAAGAAGGACACGGACACGCGGTGCTGATGCAAAGCTTTTATTGAAGAAAGAGAGAGAGAAACACGGGTAGACTGCATGCCCCCCCCCCTTCCATGAATCAAGAACACATGAGGAACAACAGGGTCAAGCTCTTTGCAACGAGTTTCACACTCGCCATCTTTGAAGACGCCGCCACGGCTGATGGAAGCGTCCGCAGACTCGGCCCGAGACACGGGCGACGTCTTTTTGAGCGGCAATACTGCGATTTGATGCCGCTCGGTTAAAGGCACTTTTACAAACACGGGTGGAACAAAAGACAGTAGAACACAAATACACTGAACGAATACAAAAACAAATGAATACAAATCATTAGGCTCTTATTTCCTGTATAAGTGTAGCATCGAGCTTCATGACCGATGTTCACACACGGCCCTAAAACAAACACCGCAAATAGGAGAGTTTGATTCCGCTTTTATGGCACATTAAGGTTTAAATGTGACCACCAGGGTACGTTTTGTAGAAAACGTGCTAATAAGCCAATGATAACACATTTTGGATAGTTTATTCAGAATGATTTAAAACCCCAAAAAGACAGTTTGTAGCCTATAATCTAAAAAAAAGCACTTGCTGACAAGTTTTCTATATTAAATAATCTGATAAAATTCATATTTTAGCCTCTTACACGTGCTCCACTATGTTCACCAGCTAGCTGCTAACTTCGCCTGTCTGCGGTTTGGTGATATTTCTCTGTGGGTTCGAAGCTACAAACGACCTCATTTACATTAAACATTCTAAAAATAGGAATTTGTGCAGCTTTAAATGTCCTTTACCAAACTAACAGCAGCTCTTGTCGTCTGGTGGCTAACGCTAGCGTATCCTCTCATTATGCGTTACATAAAATAGATGAATGTTTGATTGTAAGCTGGTCCATTTGAAGACATTTTCTGCAACTACTGTACATTTTGACATGATTGACATTGATGTTATTGCATGTTTCCACACGCTGTCACCAATCAAGTGAAACACAACACCGGAATGATCGGGCTGAGAGCATGTCAGATGTTTTCGCTACATATTGTTTCAGTGTTACAATGACATGTTTTCCTGTGATGTAAGAATCAGAGACGGAAGGAAAAACAAAAGCACAAAGGTCCCTTTACTGACTGGGCTAGTGGGCGCGTGTCGTGGTTTAGACACCTTAACAGAACACCGTTTAGTCACTTTGAAATCTTCACGTTGTGTATTGTCTAATTATCCAGCCAGCAGGTCGGGCAGCCCCGTTATCGAAACCTACGTAGCAACACGTGTAACAAAGTGATATACAGAGTGTGTGTTTCTTTATGTCATTTGTTGCCTGACAACAGATAATCAGCTGGATCACTGAGTCAACTGTCCAATTAACCGACGAGAAGGATGTTAGTCTGGACTTCATGTAGCTGGTGAGATATATAACTAGAGATGAAATCAGGAGAGTCTTCGGCAACTAGGGAGACACACAGCTTTTCTCTACATGTTGATTTATTTATAGTAATCTATTGGTAATATAAGATTAAAAAAAGAACTGCAGGAGTTGAGTGTAAATTGTGTGCCCGGTCTAAGTTTTGTGCACTTGTCGGTTATGAGTTGTTAAAGTCTTGTTTTGTTGTATGTGACCGGTGAACTGCGCTCCAAATATTGATGGAAACACTCCCGAGGACATGATGAGCCTAAACCTTCTGGAGAGCTCTCACTGAGTTTTTAAGGGACTATTAAATACTACTTTAGACTTGAAACAGTTTTCTCTACTTTTGTGTAAAAGATGTGTCCTAGCAGAAGTGCATTTATTAACGGGCTTATTAGCACAGTTATTGACAAGCGTTTACCCTGGTTAAAACATCGCGCAGTCAACTCAACCACAAAGACTCCATCCACATGCACAGGACATCTGTAATCTGGCTTTGGAAATACTGTCATCCAATTCAGCCGATAAATAGGCAGATGGGTACTTAACTGCATTGTCTTTGTTGTTTAAAAGGTACCCTGTGGAGTTTTCTTGTAAACAAATTCAACACCAACAAATGGAAATGTGTTCCTTTATCAACAGACATTTGTCCAAATAAAAAAAAAAAAAAAAAGGATTGTTAGTATATAAATGTGCAATGTATGTCCATCAACGGACGCCTATAGCCATGGACAGATTATGACATTATGGGCCCTTGGACACAGACAGACATGTAAAGACCACCCCCCCCCCACCGACTGAAAGACGCACAAAACGTTGTTTTTTTTTTTTTTTTTAAAAGAGTCGTATTCGTTTTGCATCTGAGGTGATTTTGTGTTGTTTCTGACTCCGATACTAACGACCCTGTTGGCTTGCAACCTATCGGCCAATCAGATTCCACGGGAGACCCCTGCCTGTGACGGCCCCACCTCTGCACGGGGCCAGATCATAAAAATATCACTCAACAGCGCCACTAGTGGTCAAAAACTCCACAGAGTACCTTTAACTCGCCTCATCATCGTATTGCTCTTGCAATTATAATGAAGCAACTATTAATTTAAAAAGTCTAAATGCTGGTCAGCTGTCTGTCACTCTTGGATGGAAGAAATCATAAAATCTGTCATTTTTGGGGGGGAAACTCTCGTGGTCCCTTCTTCGCCCATCGACTCGAAACAAACACGAAATAAAAAAGGCAAGTGTCACAATCAATTCTGACAGACAGCACAGTGACGCACACAGTCACACAGTACTAACAGCATCGCTTTTGATTGAAGGATTACTATAAGGACACTTATGCTCCAATCTGTACAGGTAAAATATTTCCTTATTCATAAAAATTTCTTATAAAGTGTCGATGCAATTAACATCAAAAATTGCATAGCCATCTCTAATCCGTTTTCTCTGCCGGACTGCGTAAACTACAATCACTAATCTAATCTATGGCACTGTAAATGAGAGAAAGAGTTACATATTTATCTGCTCAAAAAATGATATAATTAAACTCAAACATTAGGCCACAGCGATATGAATGGAGAGCCATGATTGTACTGTTCAATAGGAAAATACAAAAGGAAACATTGTGTTAAAAATGGAATTGCATTCAACAGCTGCCTATAGAGGACTTCGTCTTTGACACTGGGAACTACACTTTGCGATTTCCTGTGGTCCCGATCGATAAAATGGAACGTTTAATATAGTTGCATGCGGACAAGCACGCAGTAAATATGGCAGCTTAAATTCAATTCTTTGGTGTTCACTTGTGCAGAACTGTTTAATAATGTTATTCCTATCCGAGTACCGATTTGTATCAAACACTAAAGAATAAAGAGAATGTCCTCACCAACACACCGTGAGCTCATGGCTTTTCTAAATACTGACGCAGTCACACACACCCAGCAGGGCAGGTGTGCTTAACATTTTGCATGTTCTGGTGGAGTCAGACTCCATTTTAGACCCCAAAAAATTGGGCCTGCATGCGCACAAACATGGCTAGAACATGCTGGTTGACGATGATTGTGATATGAGATAATAACACTGAGTGATGATGTATATCGGACCTGTTAACCGGTGGATTTGGAGGCATTTCAAGCAATTTGTTTTGAGAAACGCTTATTTGCTTTCTTATAGAGAGTTAGATGAGAAGATCAATATATGGTTTAGCATCATAAGTTGAGCTTAGCATAACATTTTATTTATTTGTACAAAAACAGAAGTTTAAAAGTGACAAGTTTCTGTTTACTTTTAGTATTTCTTGGCCAGAAGCCGCCTATTTAAAAAAAAATAACTTTGGACAGAGCCAGACTGGTTGTCTTTAATGCTAAGCTAAGCTATCTGCCTTTTGACTATAAAAGTTCTAGGGGAAGGTCGGGTCAGAGTCATTTAAAGCACATCATCATGTGCATATGGGGCATTAAGTTTCCACGATATGTTTCAAAGCCTTCAAATGAAGCACGGGGGGGGGGGGG